CCCCCCCAGCCAAGCTCCTGAAGCAGTCCGACCCGCGATCCAATAAAGGCGTGTAGGGTACTACTACTACCACTACTACTACTACTACTACTACTACTACCTTCACGGTATAGTTGCTTCCTGTTGGCTACCTGGCAACCCCACCTTACCCAATTTGAAAGCAGCGCCGGTGGGCGAGCGCAAGGAGCAAGAGGAGTCGGTGTTCACTGCGAGACGCCCAGAGTACCTTGAATGGTTCCAGGCGCATGATGCGATTTAGGAGAGTATTCTTGAATCAGGATTTAAGAGTGATGGCTTCCAGAACGGGTACCCTGGAACAACACCCAGCCATCTATCCTTTTCTTGTGCAGCAGTTTGGCAGTAGTGTCTCTTCATGTTTCTGTTGTAGGTTATTTCCGGGGTACAAGTTTCAATTTTTCAGGGCTTTGGGTTCATTAAACGATGCTGCTCCTCACTCGCGGACCTGGCAGGCGTGATCAGCATTTTCTGAAGCCCAAATACTGCAAGCAAGAACTGCAAGTCCAGCACCCCTCCATCAAAGCGTCGTTGCAAGCTGCTGCACGAAGACTCAGCCTAAGCGAAGGGTCATGGGTCATGAGCAATTACAAGCAGGCTGATCTGTGCCCTGCTTTGCTGATAGTGGGTTTTGAGTACAGCTACCTGAGCCCAAACCCGATAAACTATGAACCCTTGCAGAAGCTCACCCCTACATGCCCCTTATACGACCGTAATACTATTGATGATATAAAACCTGCATCACCTTAAAGCCTTAAGGACCGTAATCTGTCGGAATTATGGCATATTCCTTGTTATGGGTAGTGCAAAATTTCTATCATCAACCGTAAACCCTAAACGCAAGCACCTCCAAGTTCAAGTGCCCCGAGCTTGTTGGAGGCAGCAACAGCAAGCGGCGAGGAGCTGAAGGTGCAATTGAGGTATATGCAGCTGGGCTGAAAAAATAGCACTACAATGCCTTGGCGTTCCTCCGTTGTGGGTTTTCTATATCATAACCCAAAATTCTATTCCAACTTTTAAGGCCCCTAACCCCATAGATCCCGAGAAAACTGTAACCCTTCAGCAAAAAGCGCTGAGAGGGTCCAACTTCTAAATCTCAAGGCCTCTAGACTCGTCGTATATCCTAGGTAGTCTTAGGGAGCCCCCTTAGAGGGGACCCTTTCTGAACCCTACTTATGCCTCTCTTCCCAGGGAAATTGAGAGGGTCTATATCCCCAAGGGTCCCCCTAGTCCTATCTCCTACGTAAGTAAGATACTCTGACCCCCCATAAAGGGAAAATCTAAAACGTCCCCGAGGCCTGCCTAGCATTAGTTCATTCCCAAGCCTTAGGGCTGCAAACTTTAATTCGGATTCTTGCGAACCCCGACTGGGGTTTATAGGGTTTATATATCTAAGCCTATTGGCCATAAAGCCCAAACTTCGACGCTCAGTTGCCGCAGGCCGAAACGCCAAGTAGCCACAACATGCATTTTTCCAACTATTGCCTCTCTGCCTCACTTGTTTCTATGTCACGCCGTGGTTTGGCAACATATAGAAGCCTAAATACTTAGTAATACTCTGTGGGGTTTCATGATGATAGCTGTAAGATAATTTGCCACCCGCCCCCCCCTCCTCCCCCACCCTGTTCTAATCCTTTCAGGCCCCTATATCACATCGTCAGCCGCTTACTAAGCCTTGGAAACTGCGGATCAGGCACCTGAATACAACAGCCTTCCTAGGGATTCCCAGCTACCTTCGTCGCACCTTCGGAGCGCTTTGAACATCTAAGTAGGCCTTTGGGACATGCTAGATCTTCCCTTATTGCACCTAAGAGGATCTTACTTACGAAGTTGTTTTTGTTGAAGGCTTTAAGGGGCCACCCCTAGCTGCAGGAACATGCGCAACAAGTACAACATCAGTCCGGTAGGGGTGATCCACGGCGGGAGTGGTCTGCAAGGCGCATTGTGGGATGTGGGTCAACTCCGGGTTTCTTTATAGATGAGGGCTGATTAGGGTTTAGGGTAGAGGCCAAAGTGGCTAATGGCTAGGCGGCTAGACTAGGGTTGTGGGACATATAGTACCATAAACTGATCACTGATAACAAGGAGCCCTAAAATTGGAATAGTCCTGGTAATCATTCAGGCTTCTACATTACATTGGTTCCGGTTTAAGCCTTAAGGCCTTATAAGGTTTTAAGTTTCTAGGGCGAGCATGCAGGGGTTCCAAGCCGGAGCCGCGCATAACGAAAGTCCTCGTGTGATATAGGAGCCTGTAGCAGGGAGCTCGCAAACCTTGGTGGAGAGGTCCCTATGTTTATGCAGCTTTCTCGCCTGTACAGTCCGGATGCCATCGCTTGGTCTGTTCAAAAAGCCACATCTTGGAATGAACTACGTCGCTGAACCCCTTGTAGAACCCCCACAGAACCCTCGCTGATTCGACCGTCGTCGCTCTGTGGTTTCCGCGCTGTCCATGCTGCATTGGATAGTCTTCCGTTTTGGGAATCCTTGTGGAACCGGTCAAGAGCCCTACATGAAGCCCCCGAGCACTGCAAGGTAGTTGGGAAATCCCTGAGCGATGGACCACTGTGGTGAATAAGGGGGATCGAATCCTGTTCTTGGAACCGGACGAAACGTGACTCACCTGCAGCTCAGACACCAATGGGTTGAAGGGCCGGATTTTTTTGAACTCAGGCTTTAGGCTGTAGGGTTCAGTGCGACGTAACAAACACAGTGCAACCTAAACCCCCGATCATAAACCTTGAGCCGCTTTCTTTGCAGTCGACAAGGACCATGAATCCTAAGCCCTAAACCCTAAAACCTAAGCCCTAAACCCTAAATCCTAAAACCCTAAACCCTAGCGTTCAGATCCAGGGTTCCTTTTGGGCCATGGACATGGCGGCCTTGGGCGTTCTCTAAGACTTGATATATAGCTTCCCCGAGATCTTTATGTGATGTTGCTGTCGCGAGAACGCCTTACAAAGCGTGTCCTCACTTGGAGGCTCAGGGGTAGTTCTAAGTAGGGTTATAAGTAGGATAACTCTACTTCTAGCCCATGTTCGGGGACTTATGACCCTACTTATAACTACCCCTACTAAACCCTAAACCCTGAAAACCCTAGAGAACCCTTTAAAGGAACC